CTGATATCCCCTTCCGGTCTCGCCTTCAGCCGTACGCAGCATGGGTTAGTCTTATTGGGTTCAGCATTCTGCTCCTCGTGAATGGATTCAAGGTTTTTGTGCATGGATATTGGAGTGTCGCCGATTTCATCACCTCGTATATTGGTATTGCGATTTTTGCAGTGCTCTATATTGGCCACAAGTTCACTATCGGAGCCAAGGACAGGATTGCCTTACGCCCCGAGGAGGTCGATCTGCACACCGGCGTGGAGGAGATTATCCTGCAAGAGAAGCCTGCTTTGCCGGCTGAGAAGTGGTATCAAAAATGGAGACTCATCTTTGAATAAAGACTCTATTGAATATTGGACTCGTGTAAAAAGCTACCAACAGTTTATTACTCAAGCAAAACCTCAGATATCTGTAAATCACGTATGGTGAGATTTAATTCAATAAGGTTCATTTTTCCGTCCAATCAACACCATGCCTTCTACGAACATAAGATCTCATGAAGATCTCATGATAATTTCCTTCATAATAGTTATACGCGCGTGAATCCAACGCAGGCATCGCTAATTTAGCGCTGGTTGGTTTGATTCAGATATGCAGCAGGGGGACACCATTTTCCATTTTCGTCAGCTGCAGGCAGGGATGACAATTTTCTACTTTGGGAATAGCTTCAGCAAACTTGGACTATCAGCCCGTCATCAAATGAGCTACTCAAGTTTGCACAGCGAGATGCCTTCCAGTTGCCCAATGATGTGTGGGCATTTGAGTGAGTCAGGGGCCGATATTTCCGGTGCCTCTATGTCTGAAACTTTTATAATCGTCCTTGAGCCTCGTCACGGCGTTTAGAAAACCGCGAGTCCCACTGGTGCTTCATGTATAAAGAGGCCGAAGAATCACATCACCTCAGGTTCGATAGAATTTTGAGTCATTGGCCCTTTCTTCATTCACAGATCTAACCACTAAGTTACTCCCACAGCTCAGATCGAACATCCTAAGCCACTTTTGATTCCATCTTTACCCTCCTCCATCTTTTCTCATCATGGCTCCTGACACACTCTCCCTCGCCGGCAAGGTTGCTATCGTGACCGGCTCTGGACGTGAGAATGGAATTGGTGCTGCCATTGCTCTCGCCCTCGCCCGTAACGGAGCGAGTGTAACAATTAACCACGTCTCCGACTCTGTGGTGACACGAGCTGCAGGTGTCGCGAAGAAAGCTGAAGAGGTGGGAGGGAGGGCGACCGTGGTCCAAGCCAACATCTCAACCCCCGAGGGTGCGGCCAAGCTCGTCAATGCTACCCTTGAGGCCTTCAAAACCAACAAAATTGACATTCTAGGTTTGTGACCTTTTCTTTCTTCTCATCCTCACGATAGCTAATAAGGGATGCTCTCTAGTGAACAATGCCGCTGCTGGTATGGCCACGCCGCTATTAAAAGAGACCAAGGAAGGCATCGACACATTGATGGGAACAGCGCTGTATGGCCCCATCTTCATGTTACAACAGGTGGTCCCCAAGATGCCACGAGGCGGGCGAATCATCAACGTAGGATCCATCTCCTCAAAGCTAGGTACTCCTGCGAGCCCGCTATATGCCGCCGGGAAGGCATCCCTCGACACTCTATCATTTGCCGTGTCCATGCAGGTACGTTTTCGAAGATGTTTCGATGTTATGGCGGATAGAGGTTGACCAATCATGATTTTATAGTTGGGACGAGAATTCGGTATCACAATCAACACCGTCATGCCCGGGCCGGTCAAAACAGAGTGTTTGCCGCCGCATATACAAGAGGCCATCCACGGTCATCTCGTGCCTATGACTCGGGCCGAGGAGAGAGCAGGTCGAGCAGAAGACATTGCCGACGCAGTACTACTCCTCACATCTGAGTTGAGCCGATGGGTTACAGGCCAAACCATCTCAGTAAGCGGAGGCATCACCGGAAACTGATGCTTCTAATACCAAGGAGATGCCATCGAAGGCAGTTGTGAAGTCGCATTAACCCGCCGAGATGTCAAGGGACGTGAGTTTGGTTGTTGGAGAGCCAGCCTCAGACTCGTCGTCGTCAGGCTGTAACTTTATAGTTTTGAATAGATGAGGAATCCATATGAGCTCTTCCATTTTACCAAAAACATCTTGACTGTCTATCAAGCGTAGATCTCGCATCGCGCGTTGTATTTGTAAGATTTGATGCCTTGACACCTGATGCCCTATACTGCAGGCACAGACTACGTTAACCCATAGTCGCAATTCAGAGAAGCCTGATATACGATCCATTAGGGAAGTCGTATATTCGAGGCGCCCAGTCAAAGAAATATTCTCATCGGCCGTGAGCGTGAATGCCTGCTTGAGCGCGGCTATGAAGACCAATAAAGCAAGCCGGGCCGCTTCATGAAGGACTAAAATTTGTTCGGTTACTTTCTCAGCGGAGTGTAGACCAAGAGAGAATCGTGGGATATGCAACGCAAGGTGAGCTACTGGGCCGATTAAATTTGCTGCTTGGGGCCCGCCTTCCCAGAAACCTGGCTGGTTTGAGTTTTTCTTGCAATAATTTGCAACGCGGGCTAGTGCCGTCAGGCAATCACCAAGACTCGAGAGATGAGGAGCAGTGCGGGTAAGTTGTGATATAATATCAGACATAGCGCCAGAGAGTGTCTCATGTCCCGCGGGTCCATCTTCTACCGCGCCTGGAGACAGAAACCGCGGTGGCCGATCGTGAACAGCAGCGTTGCTGACATCGAACCTGATCTAGTTAGTCGACGGTATATTCATGGAGAATCTAGCCTTGCCAGATCTTGTTCCTCACCAAGAAGCAAAGTATGGGACATAAGGGCCCAGATTGTGGAACCCCCCTCGAGCACTTATGATACGCTCTAGTCCCTCGAGGTGCATGTCGCAACGGTCCCAGTTTCCTAAACTCAAGTTATGACAAACAAAGCCAAGGACAGTCGTGACCAAACCTTGAGTGATACCATGGGATTGATCGGCGAGCTGTCCGGTGACCTTACTCAGACACAGGCTATAGTATTTAGAAGATTCAACAAAATCGGTGTACTCAAATTTTCCGTGGCCTGTAAGAAACTGATTCAAAAACAGTGCGGCATTGGCGAGGCAGAGATAGTAGGCGCTGGGTTCCAAAACGGCCATGTTGAACCATTCGGCCCGGAAGGGTCGGTAGATGTAACTTGCTTCTCCCTCCACTGTAAAAGAGTTAAAGAATGGCCAGAAGTGGTCAGTGAATGAGTGTGAACGCACTGAATGAGAGCAGTTCCCGTGCTCTCCTGTCGGGTTCGACGGCAAAATGGCCCAAGTGAGGAAGTGCTGCCGCAATGCTCGGCAACCGTGGTTCAACATTGGCCGAGCCAGTGGACTCTCTACATGCGACGACGTGCAGATCCCTATGAGTATCTTGGCTCCCGATGTGGCCGTACTGCACGTCTTCTTTCACTTCCAGTTCGACTGTGACTGGCCGGGGTCGCTTCCGTCGCGTCAGGCCAATGGCGGCCATCGCGCCGCTTCGTATGACGGTCTGCGTGCATTTGAGCCTGAGATCGTCGGGATGCTGGACATTGACAAAGGTCAAGCCCCCATGGCCGGTAGTTTTCTTCCTTCTTGCGGATGGCATTTTCGCATAGCTGCGTAGCGGATGCGATGAGAACAAGAGTAAATGATGCTCTGGCTCAGCATCGATTTTTGCAGAGGTATTATTATTAGGGGCTAAGGACCCACACTGCTTTAGTTGCTGATCAGTGACGAGACCATTAAAGAATCACGCTAAGTTGTAGAACGTGAACAGGGCCACGACCAGTGCTTCCAAAGTGATTTCCCTTAATTGCTGAAAGAAAGGACCTCCTCTGCAATGAGAAGTGTCTGGAAATTTTGCGTGAGTTGAAGGGGAAGCAAATTGTACGATACAATAATTCGGACTCTCATTGCACTCTTCGCTTAAGCCTGCGTTTAGGAAAGAGAGGAGATGTTCTTTATCATTATCACTTTTATTGAGCTTCTCAGTCCGAAGATACCTTACAGTGATCACTCTCATCCGATCCTCTGGATTGCTGCGCTTCAATAACAACAGAGCCTAACTCTAATAATCAACCAGAACACAAGGTTGCTGTGTGACATTCAAGCTTTTATCAAATGAATTCAAATATCAAGATAACTTGATACTCCCGCCCTAATATTTCGCTAGTCTATTTGAAAATAGTGATGGATGGTCGTATTCTGCAATACGACCTTCTGCTGTGCCTTGACCTAGAATAGGGCCTAATCCTAACTATAGATTCCCTTGCTATGGAATGACACTTAGAATACCAACCCTTCTATTGGGATAACTCTTTAATGGAATATCTCATAGGTGATGAAATTTTTCTATTCTGTTAGAGTCTCGTGCCTTGTTATTATGTGGTGTCACTTTTCCTGATCGCTTCGCTTATAGCGATCCTCATTGCAACCCGAATGAGTTAAATGTATGTAGTATAATTATTATTATATATTAGATAGAGATTAGACAACGTAGCTACGAATACGTATGATAACTTCTCTTCTACTTACTAGCGCCCTTTTACTAAACCTGCTGTTGATACGACTAAATAATACATCCTTTAGTGGAAAGGTGCTGTGGCGCATGGCGTTGAGTTTCTGCCTTGAGAAGGGTCATATGAGAAATGAGACACTACTTCGTTATGCACCGCCTACTTCATGGGACTTGCACTTTTGTTCCTATCTGGAAAGGCAGTGTGGCTGTAATAAACAGTGACGCGACATTGCATTAGCTACTGAAAGTGCACTTTCTACTCGGTCAGCCAACAAGGAGCTTGATTGGCCAAGTGCCGTAGTATTATGATGTTCCCCTCACGTGAGATTGGGCATGAAGAAAACAAGAATTGTTTCTTTCTAGCCAAAGCTGCACATTTGGTCCTCATTTCTCTTCATGACCTGACGTGTGCGGCACTTTTCATCTCCAGCATACTCGAATTTTGTTTTCAAAACGGACCTCGCAAGCCATCTAAATCATCAAAGATGGATCCCGTTACCATTTTCGGAGCGGTAGCTGGAGGTGTCCAGCTGTTGGATGCATCAATCAAAACCTCCAAGAAGTGTCGTTCGCTGATCAGCACCTTTCGCCACGCCGAAGAGTTCGTTGAGCATCTGGATCGAGGTAAAGGACCAGGAGGGCATCGCTCATCATGTCAATTGTTGGCGGCTAACGACTGAATAGCAATGAAGGAAGCCGAAGGCCTCATGGCTGACCTACAAATATTTGCAATGGCTGCTCAGAAAATCCCCCAGGATCAATTAAATCAATATGGCCATGTCCTAACAAGTTCCCTTGGCCAAATCGCATGGAATTATTCGAACGATTTAAAGTGTCTAGCAAAACTGCTGCCTTCGCCCTCTTCTATCAACTTCAAGGAGAAGTTCAGCTTCTGTCGGGACCAAAAGGCGATCAACAATATCATACTTCGACTAGAGCAACGAAAGATTGCAGCCACTTTGGCGCTGGGGGTGCTTGGCCGGTATGACCCCTCTTATCACATTCTTCAAGACAATCGCTAACGGAACATGTAGAGTCAAAGACTTGAAAAATCATGCTATAAGTCTAGAACTCGAAAAGAGCATGCGAGAATTGTCTTTGGAACAGTCACGTTTATCGGAAGAGTTCACGAGGTCTGTGATTGCTGGCACAGAGCAAGGTAGAAAGACCGCATCAACACTTCTCCAAATCCAGAGAGATGTGGAACTACGTAGCACAGAACTCCAAACCTCTCTTGCCTCCATGGAAACAATAGCAGCAACTCGCTACAGTCAGCTCGCCACCAAGTCACAGGTTACAACGATCGCAGCCAGCAGTGTGAATCAACTTGGAAAAATTGTCAGGTTGGAACTGAAGAGACAGTTCGAGCCGTTGAAAAGTCGATTGGACATTACTGATAAGATGATCGACGAGCTTGCTACAGAAGTTGCCACTCATTCACACGACCAAAAAGTTTTCGAAAGCCAGAAGCCTGAACAAGGGACTCAAGAGCATTTACCAGACCAAAGTTTGGAGAATGTGAATTTCGGCAGCTCTGGCCATTCATACATTATGATGGGAAACCCAAAAGTTTCCCCATCTCGAAGGAAAGTAATACTGTCCACCTATGCATGCTCTCGATATATTGGGTTTGGAACCTTAGACATTGTCATCGCTACGTACCGAACCAAGACATCACCTATACAATCTTCTCAACCCTATTTTCGACTGAAAATTGACTTCACACCCAGTCCATGGCTATTTTCCCGCGGATTATCCCTACTGTATTCTTCTGAGCCGAGCACGGATGGGTATTTCAACATTTGCCCCAGACTAAGGGTATTTGGCGTGATATGCGATGATTCGCCAATTGACAACATGATTCAACAAGACGATGTCATCAGTTTTCGAAGAGCTCTTGATAATCATGAGGTTGGGATCTGGGACGTTAATGACGGAATGAATCTTCTGCGGGTGAGTGTAGCATTTCGCAAGACCTTAAGAAGGTGGCTAACAGATTTTTAGATGGCGGTTTATTCAAATTCCATAGGCATCGCACACTATCTTCTAAGCACAGAGTGCGCAGAGACTCTATTAACTGATGGCAATTTAGCTTTCAGTGAATGTGTTCAAGAGCTGTTGGCCTGCATTCCAGACCTTGAAATTGGCCACCAATTCCTCTCTTCGATGAGAAATCTTTTTGATCCCAATGATCAAGGAGAATTGGAGGACTATCATTTAATCTGGAACCACTTCTGGAGTATGAAAAGATCTCCATTTTTCTTTTATGCCTTCCGCGAACATGCTCAAAGTCTGGAGGCGCGACAATGTGTGACACTCTCTAATGAATATGGGATATTCTTGCAGCCGGAACATTTCCTTGGCCGTGCATCTCATGTTTATGGCTTCCATCATTGCTTCGATCAGGTTCAGTATCTCATGGCACTCTATCTTGCGACAGACGGTAACCCGAATCACAAGTTTGATGACGGATATCCATTACTCGTGCAGATATTCCGCCAAATTGGTGGTTGCATCTTCTGTCACTTTTCACATATTATGACTTCTTCTATAGCTCTGATGCGTGGAAAGAAAAAGACAATGACGATTCAGAAAACTCTGCTGATTCTTCAGATTCAGGTAGCGACTGTTCTGATGGACAGTCCCACTGTTCTGATTGCATTGGCCTGGACGCCGACGACGAAGATATTTGCTATTGGTGTTGTAAGGATAAAGTTGAGCGATTCTTCACTACTCTGTTGGTCTCTGTAATAGAATCAGGGGCTGACATTCACTGGTTTTGGACGGATGATTCCATCTCAGGTCACCACCATTCATTGTTTAAGATCGCAGCAGATCTTCATGTTCTGGACATATGGGAAGCTTCACTAAAGCAGTGTGGCTATCTTCCTAATGAGGTGTATGAGGAAACACTTTTCCGAATGAAAAGACTTGATCAGCTTGGTGGGTCGACGCATTCCGATGTTGATGTTCCCAGTATCATTGAAACACCAGTGGTGACTGGTGTTAGGCTTAGACGAAACCTGGGGCCTTTTGACGACGCTTAAAACATTAAAGCTGAGATAACTATTCGAACATTTGTTTCAGATGAAGAACTAGCTATCTTTATTTATTAATTTATCAATATTAATCACTATAAACTTAGATTAAAGTTTAAAAGGTTGTAAAAGTTCAATTTCTTTATATTAAATTTTATTCAGTTTTGAAAAAATATCATCAAATTTACTAAACGTCTTCGTATTCATTGCAAAGCCTTACCACTCAGGCCCAAGACGCCTGCAATAGCAAGGTCAAATTCGAGGCCTACCCGTTATCAGCAAGAGTAGACTGTCTGGTTGATCCCAGTTCTTGGGACAGAGCCCCCAGTTCCTGACCTGCGACTGCGACTGATGAGTTGCTTGAGCTGTGGCTGGGTGAATACCTTTGCAGCTTTGAGCGACACTAAGATGAATTTAAGCCGGCAGTATGTCACAGATATAATGAATTAGATCACACTAGTAGTACGGAAACAGGATACGATTGTTATCCAGGAATGAGCAATGAGCACAGCTTCCATAAATTATGCATAAAGCAACTGAAACACGATGTACAGGTGCTTCTTACAGAGGCAGAAGTTAACACAAAAGACACGGCATACGTAGAGGCAGAACAGGTATTAGCATTTAGGCAATGTACTACAAGGTATTACTATCTAGAGCCTTGCGGCACATCCTCTCTCATCTCGCAGAAGATTTAGTGTACGTTGTTCTGCTTACGGCCCTTGATGTCATAGCGGTCCAGCTCCGAGACCTTAGCCCAGGCCTTGACAAAGTCCTTGACGAACTTCTCCTGCGCGTCGCCAGCGGCGTACACCTCAGCCACGGCACGCAGCTCGGGGTGCGAGCCGAAGATGAGGTCCGAGCGGGTGGCGGTGTACTTGACGGTGCCGCCCGAGCGGTCCTTGCCCTCAAAGTACTCGTCGTTGCTGTCGGCGATGGGGGTCCAGACGGTGCGCATGTCGAGCAGGTTGACGAAGAAGTCGTTGGTCAGGGTGCCCGGGCGGTCGGTGAAGATGCCGTGGCTCGAGCCGTCGTAGTTGGCGCTGAGGGCGCGCAGGCCGCCGATGAGGACGGTCAGCTCGGGGGGGCTGAGGTTGAGCAGGTTGGCCTTGTCGACGAGGATTTCTTCGGTGTTGGAGCGGGTGTTGCCCACGCCGTAGTTGCGGAAGCCGTCGGCCTTGTCCTCCACTGCAACCGAGCAAGTTAGCATTATTCTGATGGACAACACAGGCATCATTTTGTGGGGAGAGGATGAAACGTACAGTAGGCAAAAGTGGTGACATCAGTGAGCTCCTGAGTCGTATCAACGCGGCCGGCAGTGAAGGGGACGGTGATCTCGATGCCGGCATCCTTGGCAGCCTTCTCCACAGCGGCATTTCCGCCCAGGATGATCAAGTCGGCCAGAGATACCTGTTTCTCCTTGTTGGCGGAGTTGAATTTGTCCTTGATTTCATTGAGCTACGGGCCGAGACAACCGGTTAGCGACTTCAAACACGCAGCGGATCACGTATCGTTTGCGATCAGCAAGGGAAAGGAGGAATACTACGTACAGCACCGAGGACAATCTCGAGACGGGCAGGGTTGTTCGCCTTCCAGGAGCGCTGCGGCTCGAGGGCAATGCGGGCGCCATTCGCGCCACCACGCTTGTCAGAGATGCGGAAGCTGGCGGCCGAGCCCCAAGCGGTAGTGATGAGGCTGGACACGTTGAGGTTTGAAGAGGCAAGGATCTCCGACTTGAGAGTGGCGACGTCACCGTCGTCAATCTTCTGGTAGGTGACAGTTGGCAGGGGATCTTGCCAGAGCTGGACATCCTTGGGGACATCAGGGCCGAGGTAGCGTGAAGCAGGGCCCATGTCACGGTGGAGAAGCTTGTCTATGATGAGACGGGGATGGTTAGCTCTCATGGCTCCAGCTAGGTGGGCTGTGTTTGGTCTTGTTTCAGTGAGGTACTTACACCAAGCAAGGGCAAACTTCTCAGTCAAGAGGTCGAAGTCATCAAGGAAAGTCTTAGAGATGTTGTAGTAGATGTCGTCCTTGATGAGGGCCAGATCGCTCGTCAGCATAGTAGGCCTGTGGAACTTGCCCTCGATGAAGGCGTCTGGGTAGGTCGCATTGGCACTGAGGGCCTCCCACTGAGGAGCACCGTCAGGGCTCTCGACAAGGGTCCATTCATTGGTATGAAGCGAGTGGAGGAACTCTGTTGGCGGCATTATACATTAGTAAAACTTAATCTCAGTTTCACGGAGCCGATCCCCAACTCTGCGTGGAATCACAGCCGTTCAACGTACCGTTGGCCCACTTTGTAGGCGTTTCAGACCAGATAACCTCAAGTCCACTGGTGTACGCGTCAGTGCCAACGCCAGTGTTGCGTCCATTGATCCATCCAAGCTCTTGGTGCTCAATGCCTGCGCCGTTGGGCTCAGGGCCAATCTGGTCACCCTTGACGGCGCCATGGGTCTTGCCAAAGGCGTGGCCACCGGCGATGAGAGCAACGGTCTCCTCGTCGTTCATGCCCATACGACCGAAGGTCACACGGATGTCAAGGGCAGAGGCCTTGGGGTCGGGAGTGCCATGAGGTCCACGGGGATCAACGTAGATGAGACCCATGTTAGTATCAGCAAGAGGCTCCTCGAGCTTGTCAGCGCGCTCGTAGATGTCAGTGCTACCGTCGTAACGGTCGTAGTCACTAGCATTCTTGGAGAAGAACTCCTCCTCGGAGCCCCAGTAGATACCCTCGTCAGACTGCCAGGTATCGACACGGCCAAAGGCAAAGCCGTGGATGGGGAAGCCCATGTTCTTCAGAGCCTCGTTGCCCGCGAAGACGAGGAGATCGGCCCAAGAAAGAGTCTTGCCATACTTTTGCTTGATAGGCCCTGAATGACGCAGAATGAGTTAGTGTGCGAGGCATAATGGTGATACTGAGGCAAAGGAGAACGTACAGAGCAGTCGGCGAGCCTTGTCCAGACTCGCGTTATCCGGCCAGCTGTTCAGGGGAGCAAACCTTTGCTGGCCCTGGCCACCACCACCTCGGCCATCGAAATGACGGTAGGTGCCCGCGCTGTGCCATGACATGCGGATGAAGAACGGGCCATAATCACCGAAGTCAGCTGGCCACCAGTCCTGGGAGTTTGTCTGAAGCTCAGCCAAATCCTTCTTCAGTTGCTCCACTGTCGAATCAATTGGTCAGCAATATTCCTCCCCAAGGTGGTGTAAGACGGGAGATTGGTTTCTTACCATCCAGTTTGGCAAACTCAGTAGCATAATCAAAATCATCGCCAAAGGGATTGACCTTGTCAGCGTTCTGACGTAGCACCGCAAGGCTCAGTTGGCAGGGCCACCAATCCTTGCTCCGGGTGCCACCCCCGGCGAGCTTGCTTTTTCTTGGGCAGCGACCGAAGTCGGCCTCGTCGGTAGCCCGGGGCTCGAGGATAGCCTCGGGATGAAGAGCTCGGCGGGCAGCACCGTTGGCGGGAGCAGGATTGCCACGGATATACGGGCAAGAGGCGGCAGAGACAAGAGGGAGCGCACTCAGACCGAGGGCCAGGAGGCCTCGGGGGGAGAGTGTGTGCTCAGGCATTGCTTTGTATGGATCAAGTGGATTGCTTGCACAGGAAGCCAAGTCCAAACGAGCTTGCAGTGACTGGCAAGATATGAATCAGAGCCAGCTTCTCAGCCATCCAAGGAAAAGATTGTCTCACAAACAAGTCGAAGATTCCCGCCATATATATAGAGAAAATCCCAGAATCTCAGTCAACGAGGATCATTCATCCACCCTCGCAACATAACGACAAGGTCTCATCTCCCCACCTGCCCCCCGCCCAGACAAGCAGGCAGGCAAACAAGCCAAGTTTTCCTGGTCCACCGGTCCCCTCCACACGGTCCATGTCTTGGTATTTCGTTCTCGTCTGTCAGATTTCGGACTCTGCTGATTGCTGAGGCAAGGCGGTGCAACAAGCAAAAGAGCTACTCCTCCGGCCGGTTGGCAGGCTGGGACATTGACGCAGGAACCCTGCTCCTCTAGGCCCCAAGACGCCTAGGCCGTGATTACGAGTAACACTAGAGTAGCACTAGAGCATGCAACTACCGGGTGGAAGTCAATGCCCATTGCGACCTTCGTGATTGGTGCTCGAGCAAGATGTGATGGGCAAGCGCTTGGAAGATCAGGGCGGCCCAATCGCAGGCCAGGGGCAGGGGGCACAACTGGGGACTCGAGTTGTACCGCGGGAATTAGATTAATGAGGATTGCCTGACGGCCTGCATGCCGAGAACAGGGCCCTATCACGGAAGGTTAATTGAAAATCTATCAATGGATCAAGGAGGGGGACCCGGGTGGGCTTTGCCACTGCCCTCGACATGGGACAGCACCAATGGCCGTCGCATCGGGGGCGTGATGCCCAAGCTCGGTCTGCTGGCAGATTGCTTATTTGTCAGATTTGCTTACGACTGCACCCTGGCCATGTGATCGGCCGTCCATTGTGCGTTGCTTGGCTTGGGGGCTGCCCCAACAGTGAACACGTCCAATGTTGTTTGGCCAGCCCAAGCCTCCGCCTGAGCCCTGCGGTCCATAACACATGGAGGTCAGCGAGGCAAACACACTGTGCCAGCCCTCGCTTGCCCATTCCCCCTATTACACGTCTATTTTGTGGTGCCTGGCTCCATGTCCCCTCCCCATCCCGGCCTCACCCGCTCCCAATGTCACCGCTTCACACAGTCCAGCGCCTCGCGTGCATCGACCCTCGTCCCCATCGTCCGTGATTCACTCAGTCGGAGTCGAACATTGGGATTTTGGACATATCACAGCTCTTGGCAGCATACGCACGCGTCTAAAAATAAATGTGATAGAACCTGTTTGCCTCTTCAGCTGACCTGTTGTACGCGGTTCCCTCCACCTCGCATCATGCATCTTTCGACTCTACGCCGTGCCAATATGCCCTCTCCCGCCGCTCGACCACTTAATTGGTGAGGGACATGCTCACCGTGGCCCGCTGGCTCCCTCCGGAGCATGTGGTGACGACATTCCACCCCATAGCAAGCCCATCCTTGCCGTATTATAGACCAGACAATGGGCTCAATACCACTCCAGGGCTCGCGCGCAGTCCATCTCGTGCCCCCCTGCACGTTGATAAGGGCCAACAAAGGATCATTTGGGTTCATTCGCCCCCAGCAGAGCAATCGGAAAAGCGCAACGTCCTATTCCTCAACAATATTTCTCATGCCATGCCACCCCGAGCCGGGCCACATGATAGGCTCGCAACACGTTCTCGCTCTCTCTTGGGCGCCTTGCAGAAGAATCCTTCTAGCTCGACATGCCATCCACCTACCCGTAGGGGTTGCTTCCCAGCTACATGCTACCCTTGTTCCCCCACGAGCCACGGGTAATTTGCGGTGACAGACTGTGTGACACTTCTTTTTTTAGAACAACTTCCGTCGGCTCACCCTATACGATCATGCAGAGCGAAGCGCTAAGAGCGATCAGAATCAACCTTCTCCGCAGAATTTTACGCGTGATTTGGAATTATGATTTGGAATCGGAACCTTGTTCCATTCCGGCACTTGACCGTAGGAACGGAACGAAGTGGGAGACAAAGCCACGACTAGCTGCTTCGAGGAATGAGCCCCGATGTAGTGGTTGAATGTCATCAATTTGAATCCCTTGAACCTGCCTAATAGAGCCTTTTGTGCGTTCTCGTTACGATCAAGAGCTTGCGCGTAACAATAGGGCAAACGTTCCATTGAAGGCATGGCAACGGTAACAGTGCTTCATATCATGACATATCATGAACCAACTTAGAATTTTGGAAAAAGTACCAGAGTATTTCCCGCGAATAGCAGTGAAGCCTTTGGTAATTGCCTCACAAAATGGGGGCGGCCGCACTGACTGATCAGCCATCCGCGATCCTTGCCCTGCTGCCCGCTGAGCCACAAAGTACCTGGCAGCCTCCAAAGGACCCAAACCTTCTTGGACCAGCTTGACCAGGTACTGGGGCGGGAGGCAGGGTGCTTACTCTCGCTGTTCGTTGCCGCTCCGGCCCCATTTTCCGCTCATCTTCTCTGGTTTCATTCGAGGTCCTGCTGGGGTGGGTGGTGTTGATGGCACCTGTATTGATTGTTTGAGGCTTCAAGCTCAGTTGGCTTGCTCGGTTGCGTGCTACCCTGGGCTGTACACGTGCTGCAGGCAGGCGAATTGCTTTGTTGCGCGACAGGCCATTGACGAATTTGTGAAGTTTCTTGAACCATGTCAGCCAGGTTGACGGAAAGCCCCTAAATCAGCACAATTCTTGCCCTTCGGAGAAACTCTTGCTCAATTGAACGAACTGTGCATATTTTCTATGCAATCTCATCATCTGTAAGCGCATCCTGAAGCCATTGACGATAAGCTCCGGTGTAGGATTGAAACTTGATTAGCGAAATCTCAGGGGCAGGGGGTTAGACGTAGCCCGGATCTGTAAGGTCGCTGGTTGACCTTCCCTTTTCCTTCTTTTCGATCAATCTGGAAATTTGCCCACCTGTAAGATAGGATCGTCCAAAGGAGTTGAACCGATAGTCTTCAATTGTTTTCTTTTCACCTTGTCAGTATGCAACCCATGCAGCGGAATTCCGACGGTCCTGGTTTTTTTCTAACCGAATGGTACATTTATCTGCACGTTCTAATGCTTAGGATTGAGTGTAATCATAATTTCCGTTTCAAGGTGATACAATGGAGCTCAATCCTCTGCACTGTTGAGTCTTCATCATCTCACCGTGTAATGTTGCCCATGCCGCTTTTTGTATGGGTTAACGCCCCTTCGATTGTCATATTAATGCACCTTGAGAATAGTGACAGGCTATCTAGCACGTATGACTGTTGCCACAACCCAGTATGATTTATGTTACTTCTTAGCTTTCCGAAACAGTTAAGAAGAGAGCTATTCTCTCACCATGGACAAAATTCCAGAGAGTACTTTAAATTGAGTTTAGAGGAGATTAAGGATTCACATACGTGTGAGAATTGAAGTGTAAAGAAATATGAATAGAGATTATGTTGTTGCTCTGAGATACGGATGGTGCTTAGGATGTTTAGTATTTGGTTATGAAGTAAGTCATTGTTACTCTGCATAACCTAGGTTAATCATTATTCCCTCTGGCTCTTTAATTTGCAAGTAACCGGAAATTGCTAAGGAGACCTTCGATAAAATCAAGTTCTAGGAATTGCACGAAATACGCGGATTGGGCGATCGTGAGTCGAATTCGGTCGCTAGTGGGTTGGTAGTTAGGCTCACGATCCTCTGATGTGAACTGGGGTAATAGCTTCAACAATGCACGGTTCGGCCGCTCTACCCGGGGTTAGATAGAAAGAAACAATTACCACCCGGAAGCTACGGGGAAAATGGCTTAGCGATACTTCAAAAGCTAGCAAGTGTTTGCGAGCGTATAAGGGGCGGCCGCCGCAAAGCTGACTATATACCATGCAGACCGGAAGCGGTAGGTACTTTTTATTGCCAACGCCTCCCACTTGGACTATCCCAAGACGCTATTTTCTAGAAGCAGTCAACATTATTCCGAGATTCGGCAGGTCTCCAACGACGCCCATCCGGCTTTAAGCGGACTAACGGTCGAGATGAGTCAGAGTTTAGTCCTTGTAGACCCGCCTCGATTCAACAAGGTTATCTCCCCCTCTCCTCTCGAAGGAGGTGAGACGAAACCATCTTGCACAAATTCCCTCCTGCCGAAACCATGAAGAAATTGCTCCTCCTCGGGGGCATGACGGCCGACGTCACAACCCTCTACTATAACATCATCACGCGCACAGTTCGGAACCGGCTCGGGCCTAGGAGGGGCCCGAAGCTGTACCTCTACAGCACCGATCTGGAGGAGATGATCGGCTATGCCGGCAAGGGTGACTGGGAAAGCTTTGCTCGCGAGTACACGGGCCCTGTTGCGTCCCTGAGGAACGAAATTGACGGGGTCGTGATCTGCGCGATCCTGGCGCACAAGGCATCCGAGCAGATCTCCCAGGCCGTCGCGCCGGGTGGAGGCTCGGTCCTGCATATTGCTGATTTCCTTGCCGCCCACATCAAATCCAAATATCCTCATATTCAGAGGCTGGGTCTTCTTGGGCCCAAAGCTACCATGCTCAGCCGTGATGACCCTAGCTGGTTTATTGGGCCGCTGGAGAATCCCGAGAATGGCTTTACTGTCCTAGTGCCAGACTCGGAAGCGTCCTTGAACGAAGTCAATCGCGGCATGCTGGAGGAGGTTGCGAAGGGGGCCGCTGCTGTGACTGAAGGTACGAGGGATATGTTTGTAAGAGAAGCGAAGGCTCTGATAGGCAGAGGCGCGCAAGCTATCATCCTTGGTAGTACGGACCTTGGATTTGTCTTGGGGCAGGATAACTTGGGAGACGAGGTGCCCGTTATTGAACCGGCGGCTGTTCATGCCGAGGCTGTCGCTAACTGGGCCTGTGACGGAGACACGAGCCAATAAGGAACAAAAATCATTTCGTGGTTATAGAAACCTTCTGAGAGTACATTTTTGAATGACGATCGGGGACAATCATATTCTCTAAATGCTGGGCTATATGTTATGCATAGAGCTTAGATAGCAGATCAGCACTATACTCCCTCGATTTTTAACGAACAGAAAACATTATCTGCCATGGAAAATATAATATCGTATATGTTGTGGACTTTTCAACGTTGAGTAAAACACACATGCTTCCGGAAATCTAATCTGATCATCAAGGCACAAAGTTTTACAAATAAACCTCGAATAAGATTGCGTTGTGGTGAAAAATAGCACAACCAGGCACCCGTTTGCTCTGAAGAAAGGTTGACCCCTTGATGGACTTTAGAGCTTCAGGGCTATATGCTGCGATCCGTTTACAGCGATGAAGGTTTTGGTTCCCTGTAGCTGGTCGCTGACAGGCGCATCTCGATTAGTTATCGGTATTCTCCAAGTTTTGAAGTCGAATAAGAGGATTGTATGCGTATATTTATCCACCGGAGGCATAGACAACCTTGAACACAGATTGATGCGGGGGTGAATAATACGGGCTGTCATAGGCGCAACAACCAGAACGGCTGCAGTTCGCCCACAAGGCATATTGCAACATGAAGCACCCCAATTGGACAGACCAGCCGGGACTTGCTATAATTGCGGCATTTTCTAGTTTTTACATCATCTTTCTTCTTTCAATTATTTACCTTTACTTCACTATGCATTGGTGCGACTCCATCGAGTTTGAGCTCGTAGGCACAGATTGTTACGAATACCGTGCCAACAACTCTTGGAAGTCAATTTCGCTCGAGGATCTGCGGCTCGAGAGCCAAAGATGCGAATTTTGCTCAGCTTTATTTGGCTTGATTGATTACCGTCTGCGCTACGATACAACAAAGACAGGCAATGACCGACACACACCGCGTCTAACAGACGAGGAGATCCGTCGTAATGCAAATGTGTCTATTCTTGTTGAAGCGAAGAAAGCCCGAAATTGGTCTTTCAGTAAGCGAGGGGAAAGTTACCGGACAGTCATTGACCTTTCGGTGACTTGTGGCTCGCATCATGTCGACATCTTGCTTCAGCGAGCTGGCTCGGGAGGACGGGTTCCTGTTGCTCAATGGTACCAAGCCAAGGACGGCGAGGATACAATTTCTTACATTGCCCCTGGCAGTTGGAGAACTGAAGGAATTGACCTGTTGGCTCTATCTTATCCAATTGTAGGACGCCTGCAGGGTGGGTTCGGACGCTGGCGACCACTTCAGATTGATTTTCCTACTCTGGAGCGTTGGATCAATACCTGCGATGACGGCCATGAACTTTGCAAAAACCAGTACAAAGCGGATCGTGTTCAACGTCTGCGTCTTGTGGATGTCAACAAAATGTGCATCATCAATGTCTCTAGCAGAGATCATTATCACCAGTTTGCGACTCTAAGCTACGTATGGGGGAGAGAACCATTCTTGAGGCTCTCTAGAGATAACTTGAAGCATCTCATGACACCAGGCAGTCTCGATAAAACGCCGCCACCTCTGACAGTCCGGGATGCTTTGCAAATCTGCCATGGGCTTCAAATACAGTTTATCTGGGTGGACAGTTTATGCATCATCCAGGATGATAAATCTGACATGATTGAGATTGTTGATAGTATGGACTCTATTTACCGGCAAAGCGTCATCACTATTGTTGCTGCTTCTGGTACGAATGCTCACGCAGGTATACCTGGGGTTCGCCCAGGGACAAGACACTTGGAGCAACATACATTGCAAGCACGAGGCGTCCAATTCGTTGATTCGGTGGACTCAAAACAACTATCATCGGAATTTTCCTCGGAAGAGCCTGACTGGATATCGGGCACACCGTGGGCACAACGCGCCTGGACGTTTCAGGAGGGTCTGGTCTCGAGACGACTGTTATTCTTCACTGCCGAGCAGGTTTACTGGAGTTGCCGTGGGGGCTTGCTCAGCGAAGATACAGTGGAGCATTTTCCATCAGAAGGTAGCGATGCAAAGCCGTATAAGGACTCTGACAGCATGTTCAAGCTACTTGAATGTCAGTCTCTCGCCATCACCTTCTCGAAACGCAACTTGACCTATGAATCAGACATCCAGCGCGCCTACCTTGGGGTTCAGAATCACCTAGACAAGAAATGGGGTGGCCATAAGTTCTCCTGGGGTCTGCCTCACGGATCCTTTTGGGCATCTCTCATGTTGGAGTGGGAATTTGACAAGGGAAGAAAGCGACGGAGTGGAACGCATCCAATTGAAATAATTGATGGTACAGTCACGCGAGCCTCATTTCCATCTTGGTCATGGATGGGATGGACAGGGGGTGGGGAAATTTATTCGCAAGTAGGATTGATGAACATTTACTGCCCATCATGTTATACATTCGACTCAGCAGCTGAATTGGTCGCGATTCAATATGGAGAATACAACGGCCCGAAACCACTGGCTGAGCTATTAGCCAATAGTGAGACTGCTAACGGAGACAAAAAATGGCGAAAAGATATCACAGAAGCAGACTTTACACCAGCACTGGTTTCAACCCCAGCCATGAAACATAGCGCGTTGTTGTTTTATACACAGACAGCAAAAGTAAGGTATGCGCCTACAATTACTGCCGATGTTACGTCAAGGTTTGATAAGAGAACTTATCAGACATACCCATTTTCCGTGATGATACGGAGCAAGTTCTACGAGATTCTTGAAGAGCACCAACGGGAGGGCCAGCAGCATACAGGAACACGTAAGGAAGTGACACTCGCGGTCGTCTTTGCAGAAGAGAAACCCTTTTCATGGGAGAAAATCAGACTCTATTGTTGGCCTATTATTAAGAGAGACGGGGTGTGGAAGAGAGCTTCATACATGAGCACGATGGTTAGTCTTGACATGTGGAAGGTTCTACCGCGGAAGAGTTGGGAGCTTATATGCATGATATGAATCAATACATGCCTATGCTTAGATAGTAGAGCCCACTCTTCTTATCCATCTTGTTAATTAAATGTCTGCCAAGCCCTTCTGGCGGTCCGCAAGGCTAAATGCAGCTCCACATCGCCAGTTCAACTGATTTTCTCGCAAGTGCTCCACGTAGATCCGGGAACATAGAGTTTTGTTCACTCAGTGCTTCTGTGGAAAGCCGATGGCTGGCTCAAGTGAACGCCATGCATCCTGGAAACCAACCACTAATCTCGTCCGTGGCGCACTAGGTCACAGTTTGATCACTTCTGGAGTGATGTGCTCATCATTTACAGTGAATTTTAAGCAGCATCGTGATAGGCAAAACACGCGTTACGATGTAGACCTCTGCAATCCCTCCTTACGCAACTCATCTTCACACACCGCCACCCACTCTATTATATAGAAGCGGTAAGATGTATTATAAATCCGGAATAGTGTAGTACCTAGGCAGTATAAATTAAATCAGCTTTATTATTCAACTATAGTAATTTACCTATTTAAACAAACTAGTATCCTAAAGGCTGATAGAAAGTAAAAGTAGTACTTACTAAGACAAAAAAGGCTCTACTAGCTCAAGGCTGCAGCCATGCAGAAGGAAAACCTTATGAACTTACTGAGTACAGTAGGTCTTTGGCCAGAGCACTCACACTGACTCTTACGCAGCTTTCGGCACATCATGGCACACACCATCTCGGCGCCTTCTCTCAAAGGTCATAGCATCATCTGGACGAAGACGAATATAAACAGGAGTGATCCAAAGTATACTGGTTATGCAAAGGCGCTGCTAATCCAGCAGTTTGATTAAATTAAGCTGTTTGAAAACGTTCCACTAAAGCAACAGGTAATACAGTTGAAGAATCCGTCTGTGGAGCAGATCTTGGCTGTTGCTACCGTCAATTCCTGAAGCGGCCACGATGGCCTCGAACTTGTGAAGCTGATGCTCTCCACTGAGCCTAATTTCTCGAGGCTTGGACCTTGCCTCGCCCACAGCCATCTTGAGGTTCTTTAGTGTGTTGATCTTGTGCTGTTTTCAATAATCAAATCACATGGACGGATTTAAACTCCGCCTTGCTCCTGCTGATTGCGGTAGGTCTAGTTATCTATGCAGCAATCAGATAGCCGGAAACAAGCTCAAGAGGAGTACGTCCAGCAGCGTTCTTTAGACATAGAAGACTGCCATCATTCTTATGATTTCCATTATTGCCTTGCTTCTTCGGCTATTATAAGACTAAAGATACTCTCATTTCCTAGTAAGTAAAACATGAGCTTCTTCAAAAAGATACCTAGGTTCGAAGTGTAAGGGTGCTACCCGACTAATTGGATGCCCCAGTTAGAAGTCTGGTGAACTCCCTGCAAGCCTGCACAGTTAGAACTAACTTGTCCCAGTCCGTCCTCTTCGGCTGGGAGCTCGTTTTAGCCACTACCACTTTGTTCTTGCAGTCAACGAATAAGAGCTGCCCGTTTGTCCCGGAAGCCATCAAAGCCTCGTCGCTGGGGGATGTGACCCAATAGGAACGGTACGCGACAGTATCAAAGACGCGATCGTATTCCCGCTTCTCGGGACCAGCAGCAAAGGCAGGCTGGCTTCCATTATTCAACATGTCGTTGATCCAGCTTTCGGGCAAGATTCCACGCCCACCCTCGACAATGAGCTGGCCCAGACGAGCCAAATCCCGCACCGTAACGCAGACTCCAGCTGCCGCCCTAGCATTACCACCGTGATCTACAGTGACGTAGGCATCACTTTCTGCTCCCATTGGCTGCCAAAGAGACTCGCTGAGGAATTGTGCGAAACTTTTACCCGAGGCTCGCTCAATTACCCAGCCAACAAGGTCAGCGTTTGCCGAGATGTACTCAAAGGGCGGACCGTCGAGCCCATCCATGTGCACGGCCGGCGAGGGGGGAATGGTTGGAAGATACGCATGAAGATCCGTTGGCTTCTCGCCAGGCATAAATGGATACAACCCGCCAGCCTTGCGATATCCGGGCGACGCGTCATCATGGGTAATACCGGCCCTCATATCGAGCAATTGCCGAACCGTGACGCTCGCATAAGCAGACTGCAGGATTTCTGGAACATATGAGGAGACAAGGCTATCAGGGTTCAACTTGCCCTGGCCCACGAGTATACCGCATAGAAGACCGGAAATTGATTTCGAGATGGAGAAGGTTGCATGAATGGACGCCTCAGTATTGGTACGGTCATAAAATTCATATACGACTACACCATCCTTGAGAACGACGATGCCATCAGTCTCGGTTTGTGAGAGGAATGATGGTAGGGTCAAAAAAGAGTTATCCGGAAGCTGGACTCGGAAGTTGTTGAAGTTGTGGGGTTTGGAGGTTAATTTGACTGCCTGTGAAGATTTGCGGATGGAATCAGTCGGCACGATCTTGTTCGCATTCTGGAAACCCCAGATGCTGTGGCTTGGCTCGCGCCAATTGGTGATATCGGCAGTCATCGTGCGTTCTGAAAAGGAGAAAGCCCTTGCTGATGTTGACGCACTGCTGCGAAAGAGAGCTCCTTCGGGGAGAGGGAAAGAAGGAAATAAATAGACAAAAAGACGGTAGGAAAGCTCACCCCAGACACGGTGAGCGATATGTGGGTCGTGCTGTGTAAGGAGGAAACCCCGTACGACCTTTCACAGAATTGGCGTTACAGCCGCGGATGAGTGTGTGTTCCAGTCTTCCGGCGAGTGGCGTGATTGAGGGGTGAACCTAGGATACCAGATGGTGAGAAAATCGCCAGCTACAAATCCTTCCTAATAATCATCTTGAAGGGAGAGCGAGACTGGTCTGGAAGTTAGACAGTCACGTGATGCGACCTCAGTACATCGAGATTTGGTTTATAACTCACGGGACAAGAGACCAAATAAGTAATTATTGCAATCGCTTTAGAATGAAGTAGTGATGTTATACATAACATGGCTAGTCTCAACCCGCTATCCACATTTACCGAGGGTTGAGGCACGACTACCTACCTAACGATGGAATGCAGTGCGGGAGAGTCATACAAAGTCCTTCAAATCATTTTGTGGGATGTACATCTCACATGCCGCACCAACATTGGGCCGATCCCAAGCCCACCTGTCTTTCTCTTCGGGCGTTAGCTGGTTATTGAGCATCCTCGCGACATATTGGCCGAGAATGGGTAGGAACTTGAAACTGTGGAATGAGCCGCCTCCCGCCAAGTAAAGACCCTCGCATGCAGGATGGGAGCTGATGATCCAGTCTTGATTGGGTGTAACAGCGTCCCTGCGATGCCGATGGTGAGTAAAGGTTTTGTTCTTTATTGATCTAAATTTGTACGTACCAACACATCCGATAAGAGTCGAAAGTTAGGCCAGGCGCATTCTTTCCATACACGTGGTCGACAACTGTCCTCACTTTCTGTTTTAATTGCTCAGGCACCCTTTGACTCCAGGTAGTTTGCGAGGCATGTACCGGGGGGATGGATAGGGTCTGCCCTGAAGCTTCATGATGTTCCACGTTGGTGAAGCTGACTTCATAGTTGAACTTTAGAATCCCTTCAGCGTTCGGAGGGATACTTTCTCCTAATGGGTAAATCAGCCGAGCCACAAACATAAGGGAGGAAGGGTCAGTATATTATGGGCGATGTACAAGGGAAGAAGACGCTTTACAAGGGAGAAAATTGCCATCATTTCAACTTACCGTGTGTATGATGCATTCCAAGAAAGTGAACGGGCGCGTCGCGATACAGAGAAAGCTGCTCGGGAGCGCATCGAACCATACAGCATGTTGCTGCTGCGGCCACCATGCGCCCGTTGACCTGGAGCTTCGTGTTCTGCGGCGCGCTGTCGGCGATGAGCTTCGCTGTCCACGCCCCCGTGCATAGCAAGATTTTCTTGCCTCTGATCTCATCACCATCGGCAGTCTTGACGCCGACGCAGACGTCTTGGTTGTTGCCGTCATCTTTGAATAAAAGTCTCTCGACCGTTCCTTGGATATATTCAACTCCAGCAGCCAGAGCGGCCCCTGCGGCGGCACGCATAGATGGGTCTGCATCGGCCCAGCCGCTACACGGGTTGTAATACATGTCGTCCGCGACATCCTTCCAGTTCGATTTGGCGAAAACAGGAAATTCCTGGCGCGCTTGATCCACTGTGAATATCTGCGCCCCTGGATCGGCACCTATTTCTATGTAGTTGTTGAAACTAGCTCTACCCATGCCGATTTCCTCGGCAAATAGCATTCCCGTCTTGTGGAAGTGCGGGTTATAGAGGGGGTCTGTATTCCACTTTTCGATGGCCTTAAGGGCCAGTCGCATATAGAAGATATCACTGTAGTCAGCACGGATGATTCTGTTCAAATCCGAAGAGGCAGCGGAAGGATACGGAGACGACGAGCGGTCAATTAGGACAATCTTGGCGTTGGGTTCGCTTGTGGCAAGGTACAAAGCCGTTGAGACTCCGAACACTCCAGCACCGATAATCACATAGTCAGCCATTATGTAAAATGCGAGCTTCCAGGTGTATTGTATAGTAAAAGAGTTGAAAGTAATGTCGTGTTCCCTACTAAGGTAAGAGGCTTGTTACCAGTCGCTAGGAAATGGGGGGCGCCAGCATTGCATTTTATCATTGCATTTATAGATGTTTCGAAATGTGGAGTTATATGAGCGTACGATATTAAACAATGCGATTCGGGGTTTCGTAGCGCGATGAGAGGATCAATTTTGCCTGCATCTGGAAATATGGCCCAAGTTTCGCGTAGTTGGAACGGAACACAACGGACCAAAGTGTGAAGAGAGAACAAATAAAGCGGGAAGTGAGAAGTAGAAAGTGGGGGGTGGAAACATCTAGTGTAGGTGAGATTGAGTGAGAGGGTGGGCACACGAATAGACACACCAGGGTGTGCATCGTTTTGAACGCTACTGCGGATTGTATTGCCCATCGCTGATACTTGGTGAAAGCCAGTTCTGAACTTGCTTGTAAATGTATGTGAGAATAACTGCAGAAATCCTCCGACAGGAAATGAGCAACCTTTGTCACCAAATAAGGGAAAGAAAAGAAATTCGGGTTTACTAAGTATGTTACAAGAATAGTAATTAAGGAAGAGTATAGGAAGAAAGAGTGTGAAACAAAAGAGAAAGGGATAGGTAAAGAGAGACCCCTTTGCTCGCTTTGCTATTTGACATATTGTGTATCAGCGTCAGCCCAGGCGCCTATGCACAGGAGGAAGGTAGACGTGACCATTTCGACGTTCATCTGGTGTGCAGGCTTGTTAGGTGCTTGCTGACTCGGCAGAGACGATTTGCCCGCGAGTTTGCGACATCTAGTGGCTGCATCGGCTTGCTGGCCCAGCTGCAACTTCTCAAACAATGTAGGCAGATGGCTGAAATCGGACAACCATGTGCGTAAAGCAGGTGAAACCTCATGAGCAGCATATTCTGCATGAAGTTGATTAAGCCCATTTTGGAATGAACGTCTCGTGGCTCGGAGGGAGTTTGTTGGTTGTATGCCGTATTTGCCTTCAAAAGGCGCACTCGTAAGTAGCTGTGGCGAGTGAGCCTTAGTAGAACGGTTGTGCGAGTCCCTGCATCTGGCCATTGCACAAATAAGAGGTAGTGTGAGGAAGAGAATGCGTGTTTCTGAAAAGGGTTAAGCAGCAACTTGTAGATGGGGGAGGATAATATTTTGTCGTTCTGTATGTGCTGAGATGATTTTTTCCAAAAGAACTTAGTCTTGAGACTGCGTCGTGTTGATTCTTTATATGGCATAGGGAGATTCGTCGAGTGAGCTCGAACTGTGGCTGAGACTCCGTCCCTAAGGTGAGAACATCTCAGCAGAAGAGATAAGTTCGATGCTTGGTAAATGCAAAGAGAGAATAAAGATGCATTTGAAACAAGTGAGGCCACCGAAATCTACACACGCTCAGGGCAGAGAACTATACCAAATCGTTAACCCTACTACACTTTCCTACGTATAAGTATGACTGGAGCTTCCGTACTTTTCGCCTAATGGTCGTTGTTTTCGCCTTGGAAATCGGAGTGAACAGGGGAATCTTACTTCAATATTAGGGGCTCAACTGATGGTGGGTGGCTGCATCAATTTGTCTGTTCTTGCCGCGTTTGGGATGGGATCGGCAGAATGTTAGCCTACCTACCGTATTTCAGTATTAGTACCAGCCAATTGGGCGAGTAACATGAACAGTTTCGCCTCACTGAATTAACCCTGCCAAGTGGAACAACATAAGTTTTGGGCGCTACGTAAAATGCCTAACTACGGCGATTTTATGCCCAACGTCGTTGCGATTGGCTTTCGACGAAAACGACGTACTGTCCCAGTTGCATTTTGAGACCTACTTTGGAGCGCATTGTACGGGTGATGAAAAGGGTGATAACCTGGGTTAATATAACTAGAAGATAACGCGACTGGAGGTGCCTTCCCTCTACGATCTAAACCCGGCGTACCTCACAAGCAAAGCTGATCTGATGCTTTAAATTGAATAGCGAACCTGAAAGTGTTCACGCCCAACTCGGCGCCGATAGGCCTGGCCCACTGGCTCGCGATCCTGGCTACAACATTTGATGATAACTGCTGACCGTAGAGCCCATGTACCCAAACCTTCACTCAAACCTGCCACAGTCGATTTCTGGATCTTTTATGGATTGTGGGCGACTGCGACTTGGTGCCGCTGCAATAAATCTAAACGCGAGAAGCCCGTGGTGTTGGGACAGCCGGGAAGATTGCATTTGAATTGCTTCAAGTGCTTCTCCAAATGTGCCCTGTGAATATTAGTTGGTTATAAAAACTCCAAAGCTGCCACTGACGCCTACCTGAATGCAGAATTCCTTTCGAAAAGAACGGGTGATCCAGCTGGCGAGAAACCGCCCTTGGTGCAAGATGACTTGTAAGGACAGTAGTGCAATCCTTTCCCTCGGCGACTCAAACTTTGAAGTAACTGCATTATTGAAGCGTCTGTAGGCTCGTCCATTTCAGTATATGATATATCAATGTCATCAACGACTTCGATACTATCCGCTAGTAGCTCATCTTGTGAAGGAGGCTCCTCGGCCGCTGTAGCAAGGGCACTAGCTGTGAATATGGTCGCAACTTGCGGATCACGCACCGGTTCTGGTTCAGGAAATATGGGAGTGGAGGTGAAAGGGATAAGGTCGTTTCCTCTCAGTGTAGAGTCTGGCCTTGCCGAGCATTCACTCCAAGCAGAAGTAATTTCCTTGCTCGCACACTGGAGCTTGTTGGCCAAAACCCTGTGTCTCGTAAGCGCAACCAATTAGGTTTAGCTACATACCAAGAGGAGAGAAACAGACTTAATGGCAGAATGATTCGTGGTCATTACATCAAGCACGCCAAGTTCGGACAGATCAGTCTCTTTAGTTGCTTGGTTCACATTGAGCTGCGCATAGGTGTGGATATGATTTCCATTGGCCAGCCGGCCTGCCAGTTGGGCAATAGTCTCCGTGGCGCGGCAAAGGTAGTCGCCAATCTCAATGAGGAGGCAGTCCGAGGATGGCATTTCGGGAAGCAATAGGCCGATTTCCATCAATTCTTTTTGTATAAGGAGATCAAGCCATGACTTTTCTGTGCTTTTCTCGCCGACTTTTAGAAGCACTTCCTGGGCAGAAGGCATGATGAGTTTAGGGCTTTATTGGGTAGGTAAATCCGAGGCTGATAGCATAGAGTATTGGTACGCTTAGCACTTGTCTTGTATTATATTGTAATAAGATGGTATTCAGAGAAGCGCATAATCACCTTCAAAAAGTGTTTCGATTTCGTTTGATAGCCCAGTAGGTATATACGCCAACTGGAACTTCATGGAACAAGGTAATAAGTTAAGAAAACTGGTCAAAAATAACCTTCAAAATATTGAGAGCTTTTGCCCTCTTTTCTTCTTTCCCTATTACTTTTGGGATTTTTTTTTCTAGACTTCTTTCGACCTCCTGGCCGAGAGTGGAACAGGTAAGCACACTGTTTGTTGCCTGTCGTATGTGTCACCCGGTGGCCTAAGATAATGACGTGACAAGTGGGGAAAAGGCAAAGGGGAGAGGAGACCATAAAGTGCAGACACCAGCCTCGAACAAGAAGGGACGTGAGAAGGGAGGCGAGAAGAAAGGTGGGGATAAAAGCGAGAACAAAGGCGAGAAGAAGAACGAGAAGAAGAGCGAGAAGAAGAGAGGAGGTGGGGAGAGGCGGAAAGACGCGAAACAGCGTGATGGAACGAATGAAAATGTGCCACGATTTCCCTTTACCCCGCCCGCACCTCTCACCTCGTTGGAATTAGGCTGTGGGGTGTACGGGGTACCATGGGCATTACCCTGTGTAAGAGTCAGATGGCCGACGGGATAGCCCCGTGTAAAAGATTGCAAAAGCAAGGACCCCTTATCTATGTGATGTATGTTCTACATATTCAGGGAGTGAGTTTGTTCGACTTGATGTAATTTGCTAGTAATTCAACTATCGCTATAGTCCTGTGGTATCATGACGTGCTGTACGATGCCCCGATCTGAGAACGGAGCAAGAAAGGACTGAAGATTGTACGAAAGGTTTGAGGCTGAGACAATGTGTTGATTGGAGCACCGACTCGTTAACGCACTATCGGGGCGTGTAAGACGAAGAGTCCGCCCACCAAGGTTGCATTAGTCTTCTCTTTTTGTTCTTCACTCTCTCCCCCTTGCTAGTCGTACATCCTATCCACCTTCAATGCACGGCTTTCCGAGCTGCCTAGATCCACTGCGTCGATTGAAATAGAAGAAAAAAATGGAAGATTGTTACCGACAGCACATGGAGGACCGCGACCATGTTGCCGAGTTCTCCACTAGCTTATGCGAAGACATCTTTGACCTCACTTCACTCTTCTCCACCACGCAGACGGATCAGTCCGGGCTCCCGTTTGATAACAGCACGCTAGCAGGGAAAAAACGACGTGAGGCTAGCGTTTTCCCCAGCTTTGTTCCTGTTTCAACCGCTTCGCTAATTCTTTACTAGCTAGAGGGAGTGATGATGGAGACGTAGAAGCTCCACAGGGCTATTTTGGCGAGAACGAGGATCTCGAGGCTTTCCGGTTACTTGTCCCAGAACTATTCCCTCACTGCCCATCCTTAGACAATCGCCGACCGGTTAACTTCATTGAGAACCCGTTTTTTGAGGATCACTTGGCCATTGTTGAAAGACACCCCCATCTCAGGCCAACAAGCCAAATGAACACTGGCGTCGTCATCAACGGCTACCTGAAATTCGTAGTGAGATCGAGTAGGTATGATGGGACCAGAGACTTCGGTCAAGAGACACATTTAGCTCGTCAGGTGGGAATTTGCCACCGACATAATTCTTTTGTACCGCCTCCCTCTAGTGATCATGTTTCACGATTGCCACCAGGGTTTGGGAGTAGTGCAAAGATCGACCCCTTTGACCAAAGAATCTTGAAGTTTTGTGCGTCTTGTTCCTCACGCCCTCCTTCTCCCCTTGATCTTTTATCAGCAAACAGCTAATACTTCAAAATGGACTAGACACATTGGCCATTTGTGGTGGGCGCACCTTGTTGCCAAAGACCAATGCCTGGCTTGATTTAGGCAGTGTCATTGATAGTCACGAATGTGCACGGCATGCAGCTCTAGCTTTTTCAGCAGGCTATATGCTTGATTACATTCCTAGCGAAAGGCTTCGAATCAGAGCAAACTTTCACTATAAAAGAGCCAGTGAGCTTTTAGCGCTGGCACTTAATGATCTGAACATCTATCAAGTCGGCAAAGAAGATGGCGTCATAACTGCCTTGCACCTCCTTTGGAGCGACGATGTGAGTCACAAAGTCATGCATCTAAATGAGTGAGTATAATTAATATGATAATCCATCATAGATCGTGCAGTGGGAACTTCGGGAACCAAAAACTGTGAGGCCTCGCTGGAGACGAGGTACACGGACTGCAACGGCAATACTAGACGCGACTGATCCAGGATATCGGTACTGGAAGCCGGAGAACGTCCAGATCACCAGCATAAGACGCAGCAATGCAAATATGTGTGCTTATGCTGAGATCTGTGCCCTGCCAGTGACAAGGCTGTTTGTTACAGAGATAGACAAGCTTTATCCTTGGCTTCTAGAGGGGTCGGAGGAGGACGTACGCCAAATCCACGGCGGTACTGGTGTCTCCCCTAAGGTTTTGCATATCTATGCCCAAATCACACAGCTCTCTGCCCGTATCGCCGAAGTGAGTATTGGGCGTCTTCCAAAAGTGACAGTTTGCTATTTTACCTGACCACGGTGCGATTATACAGCTCCCCGATTCTCCAATCCTCCCACATGCGGCAGATGCGCTCATGCGGCGGCTAGAGAACTTCCGGCAAACTTCAGAACTATCAAGAGGACATGAAACGACGGCTCAGCTGCTTGAATCCTGCATCCTGGATGAACGTGGGTTAGTGCATTGCGCAACAAAGGTTACTGAATTAACAGCCGAGACATGGGTGCAAGCTGCCAAAATATACCTCTGTTGTAGATTCTTCAGGTCGGTCCACACCTTTATCATTTCTCCGTGCTCGCCGCACAGAACGAGATGAGAAGTAATATGATGTGTTTAGAATGCCACGATACCACTCAGAAGTTCGCCAGCATCTGTCATGTTTGCTACAGTGCGTTGAACGCATGCCAACTGAAGGAGACCTTTTCACAGCCCAATCTCCATTCTTTTGCATCTTCATGTCTGCCCTAGTTGCCTATCAACATGAGCATCGTCGAGTTATACGGCAATGGTTCGATAGCGTAGTATCAACTGCGAGTGGAAGATCGGTAAGCCTAAACCCTGCAACAATGAAACTTGAAGTCAAAACTTTGCCCTCTCATCCTCATCATGCCCACAGAGCGTCCCACCTATCTACAACATTATCAAAATATTTTGGAACTGGATTGATATGCAACCTTTTGCTACTGAACAAGAGAGTTTTGGCCATGCTATCCCGTTGGAGGAGCGAACACCATGGTGGGAGATAATGGTTGAGTGGCTCCTAGAAAACTATGGAGAATTGAGCCTTGTTTGAATATTTTCTCCCCTATTTATGTAGGTTCCTAGGGTAGCTGTGAATGTGATGTGGAACTTGTTGCTTGATCAAGTTGACTCCTCCAGGATTTCCCTCTCCTGTACCTCATGGTGATACCTGAAACCCGGCCCAATGACGCGGACGCACCAAAGTACGCCGTTATGATTCGAAGTCCCACGAGAGTACCGTTTTCCTTGCGAGCCAGCAGAGAGCCCGCGATTCGGCGTATTAAGCCAAAAGAGCATCACAATTACCCTACTAAGCCATATACAACATTTGCGAAAAGACCACGATATTCCCATTTTCTGTGCCTCGGTAAAAAAAAATAAACGTAACCATCCTTCCATCTAAAGTTAATTTGCGTATACCATCTACAAACTTCAAAGATTTAACCATTAGGAATGGAAAAAAACAAAATGGTATAATATCATAGTAAAAGCTATATCAACCTAAGACTTATATCTACCTCAAAAGTATCTAAGCTAGCTTATGGTGAAGCCTAATATAAGACAAACATAACTTAGATAGCCATGGGTGCTTGATCTTCGCTGGGAACGAGAAGATAATGATCTGCCAATGAGGTGAGGCAAGCATATGTTAGTTTAGCTAATACGAACAGTGTCGACCGTGTTTCAAACTTACGAAGATCTGCTTTAGGAGCTTTCCAATGTCCTACTTCGTGAAAGTTTGCCATTGCAAATTGCCTCCTCATAAGATCTGGAGGATATTTGAACGCTTCGTAGCAATCAATCTCCGTCCCTGCGGGGAAGTCGAGTTTTAAGGCTGGGCATGTGACATTCACCCTTGCTCGGATGACGAAGCGATGCATCAACGGGTCCTGTTGTATGAGACCGACAAAGTCCCAGTCCTCATCACGGTACCATTGCTGGTTCAAGACTCGATTCGAGTGTTTGTAGCCGTTGCGTATAAATTTCTCAAACAAGCCAGCATGATCGTGGTAGCTTCGCCAAATAATGGCTGCGTCCTGGGTTCCGTCCATGGTCAATAGCATTTTGTCAGTTTGATGATGGAAGCCTGTGGTTCTCAATTGTTCGAGGGACTTGACGGCGTCGTGAAAATGATCATTGCCATATATAGAGCCGAGTGACATGAGAAATCTAGGCCTGTTGAACGCCTGGTCGTTCAACCAAGCCAACCCGTGATCGAATGTCCCCCAGAGGCCAAAGCATCTCACATGGCGATAATGAGGAGTCAGTATGCCCATTTGATGCTCAAGTGACGCCTTGTCAAGATCAAGGGCAAAGTAGCATACACTGTTGCCCAGCTGCTCGAGATGGTCGAGAAGAGCCTTGGCCTTTCGAACATCACTGCGCTCGTGTTAGCACATGTGAGCCGGTTAAAAAAAAATAAGAAATTGGAGACTCATTTACATACCCGCAGCCTAGATCCACAAGGACGGCATTTGGCGGCACCATCCCAGCAATTTCATGCCCGTAGTGGTTGAAGAACTCGATCTCACCTTCAGTTTGATAGTAGGTTGGCAATCGGGTGATATCTCGCCACAGTTTAAGCCCTTCGGCGTCAGAGAGCAAAGGTGAAGGAAGAACACGTTGGGGCATGCCGATTGGACGGTATTGGTCGCGCGTCCACAATAGCTTCTGGTCGAGCATGCTGCGGAAACATTGGGAGATGCCTTCATCCCCACCACAAGCATCAACGACCGTCCCAATGAGTGGCAGACTAGACTCAAAATCGCCATTTACTTGAGGCATACTCATGATGATGAACTTCAACTTGATTTTTTTGATAAAAGTGTGGTCTGTTCTGATATGATCAAGTCCCCCATTTCTTGGGTGGTCTTAGCCTTATATACATAAATTGGGCCGATGGAAGGAGGATCAGCTGGTAGAGTCTCTCGTCACCAGTGCTCAAATCACTTGATGACCTGCAGTAAATGTGTTATGATCTCGCAAGATTCATGCACTTTTCTATTCCTGTTCTCTCCACTTACTCATGGAGCCTAGGCGCGAGAAGAGGCAACTTGATAGTGATAACTATTAAGGGCTGGCATGCTATATACGGGGAGTGTTACAAAAGTGGGTGAGTGCGGGAAGATAACAAGGCGTATTCTGCATATGCTGACACTCTTACCTCACGACAGTAGGCAAAATTGACCGACGTATGAAAATTGCAGTTTCGGTCATCAACTGTACATTTTCAAAGAGAAAACAAGGGAAAGGGCGAGAACATTCCTCTTTTCTCCTTGAAGTTGTTTATGGTGGTGCTTGAGAATGTTGATTCATCCCTTTTTGAACATTAACCTGCATCGTTTCTAAAATTAGTTGGTCGTTCTGCCTGATCTTAACATGACACTTTCTAGACTAGGAGATGGGTACTCAAAAACTTTCGCCTGGCTCTAGATAGATTCCCATGTAGATGGCTCTTCCAGTGAGCTTTGAACTTAGCTCCTATCGGTTTATCTTTGGCTTCCTTTCTTTACAGCGCAAACGGTAAATGTGGCAACCTCATGAAATTCATTCATACACGCCCTCTGCAGGGCCCATTTTGGATGTTGTATAGGAGCATAGCTTGCGATTGGCCATGGTGCATACGGATATGCCGAAATATTGCTACTTGGCGCAATTTTCTACGTCATCTGACATGTCGTCTTACCCCTTTCGTTGGTTTCTTGATCAGTTGATGTCTTGATTACGAGAGATTCTACTCGCCTACAGGATATTCGGAGCTGAAATTGTATCCTACTTTGTGTCCAATAGCTGCCACACCTTTTTTTCTGCGAAACACCCGTTGAGTGTAACCACTGAATGCATGCGATCGATGGGAAGGGACACGCTGGCCAGGGTTGTGGTTTGTGGTGAGGTTAAGTACTGTACCTCATCTTCGGCAACATCTTTGGAAACTTGTTCGATAATAAATCGAGCCCTAATACCCTCGCGAGATACATAGGAGTATTCTTAACGGTGGTTCTGTGCACCAGTCTTGGTGGTGGCACACTAGGTCGCAGTTTGATCCCTTCTGGGATGATGTCCTCATTATTGACAGTATCTAGATGCAGTCAAGCTCGCTAAAGCGACCTCTCTCGATGAACTCAAGGAGGTCACTGGTTTTATCGAGAGTCTGACTTCCGCAACCGGTGATGACATTCAGTTGTCCGGGAAGACATTCAAGCCGTGGCCCTCCCGAAACTTTCAGAGGTACAAACATCCCTTGCGCACTCCGTGGATAGCCAGAAAGCCTTCCGGTGAGGTTTACATGCTGATAGTAGACTTATCAAGGGCAATCTTCTCTCTCAATCTATTTCCGTTTATAACCTCTGTGGAAACCCAAGGTCGTCTTTGTAAGCATAGTCCCGGAGATTGATGGGACAATTTTCGAGAGTTTGAGCGCGTCAAGATAGGGGCTATCGATAATATGCCCAGGCAACAGAGTTGGGTAGTGGGTAGCAAGTCAGCTTGTTTCTCGCGATTCCTTGTGTCGGGAACTACGCGCATTTTCATTTCCTAAGAGAGTATGAAGAGATCAGCTGCTTCAAGATACTTATTGGAGCTTTGCAAGATTTGAGTCAGTTTAGAGCACTATCGTGATTTTTATGTACATAATAAGCAAAACACCCTCATGATGTCGACCTGCGCAATTCATCTTCACACACCTCATCCCACTCCCGTAAAAACTCTACCAGCCCATCATCGATGTGATACTCTCTGGGGAAAAAGTCTCCGCTCCAATCGGTGCAGGCCATGTTCGCCTTCTCAAACATAACCAAGCCGTCCCTTCGCAGTAGTTTTTCCAGTTCTCCCTTGATCTCTTCTTGGATCATATAACGGCCAAGATGATCGGGTATTGTCTGCTGGTTTGTCTCATCACCCCAAATAAACAGCCATTGATATGCATCGCCGCTTCTTGTCCCGTATATTTTGGTCACTTGCCGGTAAAACGTCTCCATGGTTAGGGGATTTCCAGTGCTCTTCGCCTCTGGAATGGATTGTTGCCCACCAGTATGTGCATATGGTGTTTCACCTTGCTCCGAAATAACTGATAAATCACAACCCTCTCCGTCCATGACGTACAAGATCTGGCAGCAGACGAATGTCCGGATCGGCGGTTGAGTTAAGAACATTTTCTTCCAGCTCGCCTTTTCATACTGGAAGGCGCGATTCAACTCCTTGCGCACGAAGGCCAGGGTGCTTAGATCCTTGGCCGCGAACATGTCCCGCCTATTTGCCCACTCGCCGTGCGCGAACCATTGAGGGAATAACTCGGCAAGAAGGGGGTTCTTTTCTGTGATGCTGGAGTGTGGTGCTGGCTGGAAGAATAGCTTTTGTCTGAGCGAGGGTACGGTGGTGATCATGTCATTCCACGCGCGGCAGACACGCTGAGCCGCCAGGATAGTCCTCATGTCCATCTGGAGAAGGATGTATTCAAGTAGTTCGGGCGTGCCAAGCACCGCGCGACGATGGGTTTCCATATTTGTGATTTTGGTTGTTTTTTGAAGATGTCTAGAGAAGGGAATATGAGTGCTGGGTTAACACTTGGCCAAACAAAAGTTCTTTGGTTTTCGCGGAATATTTCTTTGCGTTTATTGCATACAACGAGTCTAAACCCTTATAAATGCATACATACCCCATTTGATGCATACGTAGTTTTAGGCTTGGGTACTTCAAGAAATACTCGCTCCTTCGCCACGGCTAGCAGCTAGGATTACCCGGATGCGGTTCTTGCCGGACCTTAGACAGGATAGACAATTAGCTGTCTGCCAAATTTATATATTGGTCATCTAGACATTTACAGAGCATACATCATCCGGTTGCCTATTTAGAATGTCAAAAGTGTCATTGTGCTATGTATACGAGCTGAAAAACTGTCCATATACGTTTACTTCCCATTTCTAGCTCTCATAGATGATTTGGCCAGAGCGCTGGTTGATTTGCAACGCAATAGTGGCCATTTCGAAACATCGTTAGCCGAGTTTTTACCATGGAGGGGATCACTCATTTAGTTCATAGGAGAAGATCCGATCAAGCTCTCATAAACCGTGGGAACATTTGTTAATGCTTTAAAGCACATACAGCACCCAAGGCCCAGACTAGAGCTCCCTCATCAACTTCAAGCTCAGAAGGTGAGTCGGCTAAGAGTATATAGAGAGAGAGAGGCCTGGGGCTATTATAGCTTAATGGGGGGAAATATATATTAGATTATTAGTTAGGTTAGACTGTTGAATATTATAAGGATATTTTTATAGTTATCGTAATACAGATTTAGATATTTGTACCCTAAATCTTCACAGAGTGAGTTCCATTTAGTCAGACCCTGACTGAAGAGTAGGTACAATATTTGCGTTACTGTAGCATATGCCTGCAATTTCTTTATACCACCCATCAGGAAAAAAGCTGCAAAATGCAGAGCATCAACAAATAATCACAAATCTCAGGGTCAATGTGGCCATTTGCTCCTCCTCGCCTCTTTGCTGAACAAGGATATTCTGTGGTTTGATATCCCTGTAGATACCCATCAATCCTTATCGTGGTTTCGAGCTTGTATAACTGGGCTTGCAGGTTTGCTAGGGGCTTAGATAACTATTATTGGCCAAGAAGATACGAGGACGAAGGATACAAGACTATTTATGCCGCATGCATTAGCTATGAGCCTTGGGGGGACTTTATACCTCGGAGGATGAGGATGACACTTGCCAGCTGGGCAGTAGTGGTGACTTCATTGAAGGCGGCTACGGGGGCCTGGACTATTGATGTGATGAAGGCGTCATTGCATGGCAAGGAGGAAAAGGCAGGGCTCGCACAGAAGGTAGATGGAATACTACCGGGCGTGGACGCGGCGCAAAGCGGACAGGAGCCAATTTGTATGGGAATTGTGGAAATTAAGGCAAACTCCTTGACTTCTCAGAAACTACATCATAACCGGCCATTAACCACCGAAAGCTGGTTTTCCGCTCGAAAATACGGTCGCAAAAGTGGAATCCATCGCCCGCGACTAGACGACCATGGCCGATACGCACTACCATTTCCTTCACTGGGACTCCTCTGCCTGATGACCACAACGGAATTCTTCAAAAGACTGCTTTAATTCAACTGTTAATGAGCAGTCCGAGAAGATTCTGGATGCATACCAATAGAATCAAGTTATTGTTTTGTTAAGTACAATTAGTCCATCACAGTCGACCCATGTCACCCAAATGCTTCTCTATGATGAGGGGAATATCCGCATTGCCTGTACCAAACCACGGCGACTAGCCCCAAAACCCTTCATCGAATACTTCTTTCGATGGCCCGAACCTTATCTGCCTCTTCACGCTGGAAGTTATCAACAAGGAGAGTAGAAGGCGCAACCTTCCACGCTGGGCCCGGCATCATGTACCTTCTCAATCCTGACTTTTTGTTTATCTGGTTTGATCCGGTTCCGGTTGAAGATCCCACCTCCTGTTCCCTTCTTCCGGGGTTAGGATGGGGATTTATTGTTTGGTTGCTTCCTTTTGGTACTATTTGATCTATTATGCTTGCTTGTCCGGTAACTCCTACCGGTCGAAAACTTCGGTGGTGGTATCCTAGTTGGACTATTTGGTCTCTTTGGAAGCTTCTCACTGGCTTGCTTGCTTGCCTGGTTGACGGGCGTGTTCGGGTTTCTTTGGTGGCTCTTACTGGCTTTCCTGCCTGCCTGAGTTGCCCCTGGCCGATCTTCTTCTCCCTCCTCTCTCGAGGTAAAACGTTTACGATGTTGGACAGGTGTGCTGGGCAATTATTGATGATAAGAAAGTCTTTTTCGTTCGACTCGTTGAACGCGTTCGCTTCCGTGGCTGCCTTCTCGAATGGATGATAGTGGTTACACAGGATTCTGAGTCGGTCCGTTGTCCCTCATTTCTTCAGCTTCTGGATGTATTTCGCTGCTGTCAGCACTGCGATCAGCGGCCATGGGATTGTTACATCTTGCCCGTATTCGTCAATCAATTCGCCCATTACTTCGATCTTCTTCGTAATGTGCTTGATCGCACCGAACTTGTGGTAGGTCGACTCATCGATCAGGTTGGTTGACTGGATATTCTCGATCAGCGCTTTGAATCCTTTTGGGTTCTGAGGCAGTCCGACCCCAACGCGTGGATATATATATGGCCTCCCCGGTAGCCTCTAGCTACCTACCTTCTGAAGAAAACACCCTCAAGCTCACTGTGTTCTGGTTACAAAATCACAAATCCCACTTGCAGCCACCTTGGCACAGGAATGAGGTCAGTCCCTACTCTGAAGAAGGTTACTGCCTCTTGCTTCTCTTCTGAAGTCCTTTTCTTGGAGCTCTTCAAAGGAGATAGACGTCTTGCAGATCATATAACAACCCATAAGGGTTCTTGTGTTCCAGCCAACTTGCTAGAAGGATTGGCCTACGTGATTACCGCAGGTATGCAGCTTAGTTGCAACTAGCCCGTGAGCCTACTACGACAATTCTTTAGTATTTAATCTAACTTGAAATGTTGACTAATAGAAGTTTTTCAGCCGAAGAAGTTGGCTACTATATCGCTGGTAAAGATGCAAACCCAGACAAAAATAACAAAAAAAGGCTCATTCTGGGGTAGATAATATTTATGGGTTGTTGTGTATAGATATTGGTATGCCTATGGCTATTATGGTAAAGTTATCATAATATATTTATTGTAGTATTATTATGCATGAATTGGCCACTTGTCTTTGAAGTACTGCTGGAAGTAAACATAGATAAGTTGAGAACGATATGAACTATTGGCTTGTTATTAATATCCCAAGTGCTCACCAATGTTTCTGTCGGTAGTCGCAAGACCAAGACCAAGACAAGACCATCACCACCACCACCACCGCAGAAATGCCGTATTTGAGATTTAGCTTGGTGGTTGCTGCTCCTATGTCCAACGCATCATAATGTCGCCTACCTCACAGACAGCTCCTGGGGGGGCGTATTGTAGGTTTTAGAGTAACGAGACACCGGGGTAACGCCGTACAGCCGCCGGCACATCTGACAGGTCCATGTTCTGAGGGTACCTATTTCCCTCCCAGCGTAGCTTTGGGCTTGGACGAAGTGTCTGGTTAGGTTTGACGGACGAAATCCTCACCAGAACGACATCACAAAGGATCGACCATGCCTACCTGGCCACTTGGGAGGGCGATAACCGAGTTTTGAGGACGGAGATGGATGTTCTTGACGCTTCCTCCTCTTAGTGGCCATCGACAGTGTGGACGGCTGGATGGGTGCAGGGGTTGTCGGCGTTGCAAACAGCTGGATGGGCGTAGGGGTTGTCGACGGTGTGGACGGCTGGATAAGGGTAGAGGCTGTCGGCAGTATAGGCGGCTGGATAGGCAGCCCCTTCTTCTCTACCCCTGTGCCGTTGTTTGTGGTAGAGCTAATTAAATCATTATGGTAGTCATCGCGACAGCAGCTTACCTGCCTCCTGCCTAATACTGTTGTTTCTTCTGGTTATTTCTTCTGCCTTTCTTCGACTGTAGCAAGCAGCAAGTCTGTTTTTACTTTCTCGATTCCAGATTCCACGTTCTCAATTTCAAATTTTCAAATTCCGAAAGCATCAGAATGTGTGAAGGGTCTCATCGTTTGGTTTCGGACTCATAATTATTGCGGAGATTGCTTTCGTCCCAGCTATGATTGTGGCGGTGTCGACCTGCAGGAAGAACAATTTTGCCACGGGGCTCGCCAGGAAGAAGGACACTCGGAGGGGGCGGACGAAAAGGCCCTACCCCTCTCCTTTCCTTCCCCCCTCCCCTCCCTCGCAGGAAGATAGTGCTGTGTCAGGTCTCGATGTCACTTGGTGATCCGGATGATGCTGCCTTCCGCCTGACGGTTCACCAACTGTCGTTGTATCTGAACCCTGACCCTGGCAGCAGTGATATCATCCATGTCTACCGAAGGCACGCTGCGTGAAGAATCTGAGACTATCACTTTACAGATGATTTCTTTCCCAGAAGGCCGAGGAGGAGGGGAAGTTACCCTTAGAGGATGACCCGAAATTTTTCTGCACCGAGAAAGACTGATTTTATCGGTTATTCTAGAAGGTAGGTGAGGAAAGAATTGAAGATCGCAGCAAAGCTCCAACCGCCATCCATCTTGCTGGTGCCCTTATGGGTATGAAGAATCTAGATATGTGATACCTACCAATGGAATGGCACCGGTTTGCCAAAGCTCTTCTTGATTCTAAAGGACCAAGATTAAGAGACCAATGTTCCAAAATACTTTGCCACAAGCTTGACACTTGTTTTTTTGGGAGCATTGGGTTATCGTCCTGGAACCAAATGTCAATCGGCCATAGCTCTATTTTGAAACACCTCTCTAAGACCTAGTGAAGCAATATCTAGCAGAATGAGCAGAAGTTAATTGAAATGCGAAAGGATTAACTATTCCTTCTCCTCTCTGCATCCACACTCACTTACGATAATGTCTTCCCAGGAAATAACTTCCTACGTGATGCCCCTCTCCTTCTGTACA